AATCCTCTTGAAGGATAGCTCGCTTCACGTCTTCAAGCGAGAGGCGGGGCAAGTCGCGATTAAGGTTGATGATGAGCAAGGACCATGACTCAGGGAGTAGGGCCAGCAACTTGGTCTTCTTTTGGAGCTCACTATAGTTCAAATCAGCTCCCTCAAGCCGCGTCAACAAGTCGAAGAATTTCTGCACCCCTTCTTCAACCGCTTCATCCTCTTCAATTCGTAGTGTCGCCATTTGCCGTTCCAACACCACAGCTACCGCCGCTGTTGCAGGAGCGTGTACTCCCTTGAGAGCAGCCCATGCCTTTGGTCCCTTCTCTGGTTCACGCTGGAAAGGCTTGATGTGACGGATCTGGCTGCTCCCCAACGCTTGCCCTAGTAGGAGGTAGCCTTGTGCGCTCTTCCGCACCCACGGGCTCTTCTCCGGGTCGTTCTCGGGGCGCTTCTCCGTTCCTTCCATCACCTCCAGCAGGTCATAGTGATCAAACACGTTCTCCATTCTGAAGGACCACTCAGCAAAGTTGTCACCGTTGAACTTGTCAAGGCCAAACACTCTAGGCTCGTCCCTAGATGGGCCAACACTTGGTTGCACGGGCGCCATGGCTGAGTCACGGGGTTGGCCTTGAGCTTGGGTTTCTCCACTGCCACCAGCACCTCTGCCACCCCTTTCCTCAGGTCCAGCAATTGTCGAAAGTGCTCCCAGGGGCTCTGATACCACTTGTTATAGTCACAGTAGGCTCCAATGTGCCTAAAACGAAAGATAGAGTGCACAGCCGGATTTCTGCACAGCGGCTTCAAACGTTCATAGCGTTCTGGTCACAGCTTCAAATGACTTGATTCAACTTGGATCTGGAGCTTCATATTGTCGCCTACAATAGGCAATTTAGATCACACGATATCACCAAGTATTGACGACACAACGTCAGTTTGAACGAACGGCACTATGGCAGCCACTATAGTCTTAGAACACAAGATAGGAAGAGTTAGGAAGAGTTACGAGTTGGGAATGACTCCCAGCTCCTACAAACCCCAAGAGCCGAGGTACAGTGATGTGGAACAGTGTCACACTGTCCCCAACCACGAAGGGTCTCGAAACTACCCTTCACTAGTGCCTACACCAACTGAAATGTTACACTACACAAAGTATTGTAACTATCTACAATCTCTTGAGGTGTACCCTTTTGGCGAGCTTCGCGATCACTTGAATGTTGACACCAGGGGCTCGGGTTCTTCATCACAAACTCATCCTTGAGTTCTTGATGGGTCTGCTGCACACACCTGCGACACGCCGACGTTCGACAAGCGACAAAATAGAAACCGAGCACGACAAAATAGAAACCACGCGGGACACACAAAACGACCACGTTACACGCGACTAGCGATAATTCGCTATTGACTTGACACACACACTCGACATCATGACCCATCATAAACACACTATCATAAGCATGAAATATATATTTATTTCATGCACTCATTCCATTCCATGCACACACGCATGCACGCACACGGACAACAAGCCGAGTGCAAACCGTAGGGTTGCACCAACACGAGCGACCTCCATGACTAAGCCAATGCGGCGCTCAGCAACCCCATTCTGTTGCGGAGAGGCCGGAAGCGTGAACGTCTGGCGGATGCCGTGCTCCGCACAGAAGGCTGCCAAGAGGTCGGAGGAGAACTCACCACCTCTGTCAGAGTGCAAACGCAGGACAGGAAAGTCCGAGTGGAACCGCTCGCGGAGCTGGAGACGAACAGCGCGGATCCAGGGGATCAAAACATCAGGGACATCCCCCTTGCGCTGCAAGGGGAAGACCGTGGTGTAACGCGTGTAGTCGTCGACGACCAGCAGGAAGTACCGCTCGTGGCCCTGTCCACGGACGCGGGCTGGGCCCCACACGTCCAGGTGGAGAGTCTGCAGGGGAGCCTCTGTGGGAGGGAACGAGGAGGAGTGAGGAGCGGCGCGCTGCCGTCCCTCGACACAGGGAAGACAGGGAGGAGCAGGTGAGGGTGGGAGGGGAGGGAGAACCTTGGGAAGACCAGAGACAAGGACACGGCGGTGCATGTTACGAAGGCGCTGCACCGAGGGGTGACCAAGGCGGTGGTGCCAAAGGAGGGTCTGGTGCGACAAAGCGCGACACGAGCAGGGGGCCGCTAGCTGACCTGACACAGACACAGACGCAGCGACCTGAGGGGACACAGTAGTCAGTGTGTACAAACTCGAGCCAGGCGCACGGGTAAACGTGGCCAGGTGCCGGCCAGTCCGGGAGCACGTACAGTGGGTCACGCGCTGACCTCCAGGAGTGAACTGGTCAACCCACTGGTCCTGGAGGTCAGCACAACTCACCAAGTTCGTAGAGAACGAGGGGAGGTGAAGACCTGACAGGGAGCCAGACGGGACTGCCGGACACGGCAGGACCGTGGAGGAGTGGGCAAGGACTGGACCCCCAGAGGGGTCTGCCAGGGAGACTGGAACCGGTCGGCTGAGCGGCGTGAGGGTGGTTCTGTCGCGAAAGAAGGAGCGCGAAGCACCGGAGTCTAGTGTGAAGGTGTACAAGGCCTCAGCAGGCGCAGTACCAGAGAGAGTAGACTCACCAGCACCTGGAGCAGCAGCCAAACCAGTACCCAGAGCAGGAGACGCACTAGCACCTAGAGCAGCAGCCTCATCAGCACCAAAAGCAGCAGGCTCTATACCTAGGTCAGGCGGTACGCACAGGTAACAGGCACGGTCAGCACTAGTAGGCAATGCATACATGGCAGTGAGAATAGCATCGTAGTCAAGAGCAAATATATCTACCCTCTGCCCAAGCAGCTCCACCCATTCGGGGAGCTCAGCCTCGTCGCCAAACTCGGTACGCCAGGCGTCGCTCAGACGGGCGAAGCAGCGGGATTGGGTGTGACTAAGCGTCCCGCAAGCCTGACCCGTCCGAACACCTGTGCGAATGACGTACGGGCAGCGAACGGTACTCAAAGACCCTCTACTCTGAGCGTACCACTCGTGAAGCTGCTGGGACGTAATTGTCTCGCGTGGACGCCGCTGCAGCTGCAGCTGGCCACCGCCAGACGCTCCCAACTGACCAGCTCCAGGGCGACAGCTACGACGGCTACCACCACAACCCCAACTAGCGTACCACTCACGAAGCTGCTGGGGCGTGAGAGACTCGCGCGGACGTCGCTGGAGCTGCATCTGGCCACCGTCAGTAGCAGCTGTAGCAGTAGCAGTAGCCTAGCAGTAGTAACTGAAGTAGCAGCACGGGCAGGGTAGGCCCGGCAGGCAGGCAGGCAGGCAGACAGGCAGGCAGGCTGGCAGGCAGGCAGGCAGGCAGATGGCGCGGCAGCGCGCTAACAAGGCAGGTGCTCACCAGTGGCGGGAAGAGCAGGCGCTCGCCGGGTGAGCAGGGCCGGCGCTCGGCGGGCGGCTGCACGGGGTCCAGGGGCGGCGTCGTGGGTCCAGGGGCGGCTGCTCGAGGGTCCAGGGGCGGCTGCACCAGGGGCGGCTGCTGCAGGGGCCAGGGGCGGCTGCTCTGGGTCCAGGGGCGGCTGCTCGAGGGTCCAGGGGCGGCTACACCAGGGGCGGCGTAGCTGGTACAGGGGCAGCCGCGGCGCGCGGGCCTGCAGCGCGCAACGCGAGCTGCGGGCGCGGCACGCGAAGCCGCCGCGAGCTGCGCGAGGACGGCAGCCGCGGCGCCCGGAGCTGCAGCGCGACGTGCGGGCAGCTGACGCGACGCGCGGAGCTGCAGCGCGACGCGTGAGGCTACAGCGCGACGCGCGGGGCTGCAGCATGCAGGGCGCGGCCGCGTCGAAGGCAGGGCGCGGCCACGTCAGAGGCTGGGCGCGACTGCGACGGCTGCAGGGCGCGGCCGCGTCGAAGGCAGGGTGCGGCCGCGTCGAAGGCAGGGCGCGGCCGCGTCAGAGGCTTGGGGCGGCCGCGACGGCTTCAGGGCACGGCCGCGTCGAAGGCAGGGCGCAGCCGCGTCGAAGGCAGGGCGCGGCTGCGTCGAAGGCAGGGCGCGGCCCCGTCAGAGGCTGGGCGCGGCCGCGTCAGAGGCAGGGCGGGGCCGCGTTCTGGCCTGACGGGCCTGCAGGGGCGGCTCGTGGGCCTGACGGGCCTGCAGGGGCGGCTCGTGGGCCTGACGGGCCTGTAGAGGCGGCGTGTGGGCCTTACGAGCCTGCAGGGGCGGCGCGCGGGCCGTACGGGCCTGCAGGGGCGGCGCGCTGGCCTAGGGCAGCAGGAGGCAGCGCGAGGGCTGCAGGACGGCGCGCGCAGCGCAGCACGTCACAAGGCAGGGCAGGCAGGCAGGCGCAGGACAACACGTGGGGTAGCACGGTAACCGCAACGGTAGGTGGGCCCGGAAAAAAAAACGGTCCTACGGACCTAGTGCTCTGATACCATGTCAGAATCTAGCAGGAATGAATGAACTATGAAAGGGTTGGGTACAAGTATGAAACCCTAAAAGGGGCTGTACCCCATATTGGCTAGCCCACTACAGCCTAAACATATATAGCATATATATACTTTGACATCCCATAGTGCTGCGATGTTCCAATTCACGATGGCAGCGAACAGATCTGTCCGCTTCGCTCACTCGTCAGGTGAAAAGTAGCGGGGAATTGGTGCGGAGGGGCACGTCGCGATATCGGCAATGGCGGTTCGATTTCGCCCAGCGCGGCTCGACCTCGCAGGTGAGTTCGAAGTTGGAATTGCACCCGTCCGATCGGCATCAGACGGTGGTTGAGCCATCGGTAGTACTTGCAAGGCTGCCTGCCCTACTACAGCTTCCCTTCTCCCTGGTCTCTCCCTCGCCCTACCTTCCTCCTTAGACTCCTCGTCCTCACTCATGGGGAGGGCTTCTTCCCTATAAGATGGGTCGTTTAACTCTTCTTCTTCATTACTCGCCTCCAATTATTTAAAGCCATTCGTGCCGCTGCTTGGTACCCGTTCTCCGGTCCTCCACCTGTCCCGCTTACAGCTTGCCTCCTAGCCCCGCGGCCTCCCTGCTCCTGAGATGGTGATTGCTGGTGCGCCTGAGCCGTCGCCAGAGCGCGTTGCCGCCTGGTTGGCTGTGGTCGCCAAGCCTCCGTTGGAGCCCGAAAAGGCGACCATGGCGACGAAGCCCGTGACAACAGTCTCTGAAAAGACTCTTCACCACGCGCCCACGGATCCCCTTGCCGTGCCAGAGGCAGTCCCGTCTGCCCCTGTTGTTGTTCCGTCCGCTCCGGCTGCAGCTCCTGGCCCCCTGGCTCTCGTTTTTGAGCCGTCGGCATCTGCTCCTGCTGGGGATGTTGCTGATCTCCCTGTTCCTGTCCCTGGCGCCCCCGTTGCACCGCCCGCTTCTGTCCCTGGCGTGCCCACTCCGGCTTCTGCTTCGTCACCGAAGGCGGCGTCCGCCATCACTGGTGGCCCGGCTCCGTCGGTTGCGCCCTCAGCAGCGGGTCAGTCCGCGCCTGCTGTGATGCCGATGGCCCCGGCAGGTCAGCCGTCACGCCCCCCGTCACCTGACCGCCGCCTCTCTCTCTCTCTCTCTCTCTCTCTCTCTCTCTCTCTCTCTCTCTCTCTCTAATGGTCCGTATATTGATAGAGCTTGAAGGTACAAACATGCAGGGTATATAGTGCAAGGTCTAGCTAACCAGAATGACAACCAAACAAGGCAAACCACACACACGACTACCAAACAACCGCCCCCTCTAGAGCTCCAGAAGAGGCTCAACCACCGCGAAGCAGTCCCCAAGGTGCAGCTCCTGCCCTATGCCTCCTAAAGGCGGGTTTTCTGCCGCCGCTGCCTCACCCAACTTAAGTAGGAGTCCCACGGATTGAGCCCTCTGAAGAGCCACCGACCACCGCTGCCTGAATTGGTGCAGAAACTTGGCGGCATAATAGGATTTTGAGTCGGCGTTGAAGTGGCGCCGAGCCGCTGTGTCTGCCAGGAGCTTGAGGAAGACAGGGACCTCGGCGCATGGGCAGCCGTAGGTGTCTACTGCCAGTGGGAAGAAGCCAACCGTCTCTGGGCGGTTGGCGTAGTGCTTGATTTTCTTGTCGGCTTGTTCACGTGCTGCCCATCCCCGGCCCTTTTGTGCTTCCGGGTCCCTAGTGCTGATAGGGTCAGTGATGGTAACGTCGCAGATGTACACCGCCCCATTGCTTCTGTCGGTCATGGTGAAGTCGGCCGTTTGCTCCTCGATAGGGCAGTAGGCGGCTGACTCCCTGTGTACTATAAACCCCGCGTCTTGCGCCATGCTAACGCAGGCGCCCCGCAGCTCATTGTGCGTGTTCGTGCGGTGCTTGCCTGTGCCGCAGCGTAGCAGGTGGTTCGGGAGGCGGGGGTCGGTGATAGGCGTGTGGTCCGCGCAGTCACAGTTCTTGGGTGTGGAAAACGGTAGGCCGAGGCGGAAGCGTACCGTGTTGGCGAAGTGCACTGGCCCTATCCGTCTTGCGGCAGCGATGGGGATCGCGGTGAGCCAGTCGCCTGTGCCGTAGCAAGTCATAGAGAACATCCGCTGCGTGTGACCAGCGAGCGGATTCGGTTTCATGCGCCTCGTCGCCTGCACCTGCTTTGCGTATCTGCTTCCGTGGACTTTGAGTCCTAGCACGTGTTGGAGCCGGATGTCAGAACGCTCAAGCCGCTCCTTCTCCAGTACCTCCCGCGCATCGAGGGGCAGTGCCTCTTTACACTCGGTCAGCCATGTGTGTAGCGGTGTGCTGTCAACCCGCGGCAGTAGCATATGGTTCCGTGCTAGGGTGAGAGCGTTATCTTCTTCCAGCGGTAGACAGCCGAGATACATCGCCGCCTGCGTGAAGCTGGCTGCGAAACCGTAGATCCCCTCGACCAGGGGGTCTGTGATGCCCAGTCCTCCCAAGGATGGCAGCAGCGACGCTTGCTCCCAAACCCGCGATTGTTCGCTTCGACAAGTCGGAACGCGAATATCAGACGATGTGAGGAGCGTGGCGAGCAGATCCCGGCCCCACTGGCTCCATGTATCACGGGGGAGGAGGTGGAGTGGTGTCGTCCTGGTGAGGTATGCAACTCGTCGCGAGATGCATCGCGTAATTAGAAGGGCTGCTACCTGGGGGTCTGTTCGCTCGAGGAGGGGTAGGGGTTTTGACATCTCAGCGAGTTGACCTGCCAGGAACTGAGCTGCGCCGCTTTCCGGCCCCACGAAGCTACCCAGTAGCTTCACGCCGTCTTTAGAGAACGGCACTCCTGGAGGAAGGCAAGCTGTGTCGATTGCGCTTGAGCTCCAGGCGCTACATGTCTGTGGGTTATGTGCGAGGCCCGGGTGCGCCAACTTTGCTGTGAAGTATGTGAATGCAGCTACAGTGCGGGCAGTGTCACCCAAGAAGGTGACATCGTCCGCATATGCCAAGCACAGCACGTCAGGGTGTGATTCGGCAGTTTCTCGAAGTGTGGCGTGTATCCCTGCTGCAAATAGCAACGGCCCAAGTGGGTCTCCTTGGCGCACGCCGCGTTCACTTGCTAGTGGTGCGCTGTTGAAGTTGGAGTCAAGTAGCAGCTGCGACGGGTTACCGTATGTCAGTTTCACGAGCGGCAGCAGCGGCGAGAGGGTGGGCTCGTGTAACGTGTCGGCGATGGCGGTTCGCGAAATGCTGTTGAACGCGTTTGAAATATCGGCTTGCAGTACCAGGCTGTCCGGGCGGGCATCCGAAAAAGCCCTGGCTGCGTGGATTACTGCCTCTGCTCCACCTGGTACTGCCACCCTGTACTGTAGCGGTAGGAAAAATTTGCGGACCGGTTCTCCCATGATTAACAGGGCAGCCTTGGCTGCCAGCCTCGTTAGGCACTCGCCGATGGCGATTGGCCTAGCCCCCCCCCCCCCCCCCCCCGGCTTGGCAAGGGCGATGAGACGCGACGCCGTCAGCAGGTTTGCAACCGAACCTGGCAATTGTCCTCCCAGCATAGTGTTGACCAAGGCGTGCAGATGGGTGCTGACCATTCCGTTGGTGATCGCCGCGTCACGCAGGTGCTCGAATGTCATCCCTGATGGACCGGCCCCGACCCCATTCTCGCATCTCCCCAACAATTTGGCGAAATCAGGGTGGGGGATTGACAGCTTTGACCCTTGTGTCTCGGGCCACGTCACCGCCTCGTCTCCAGCGGGTGGGTGCTTTTTGCGCAGCTCCTCCAATATTTCCGGGCTGGGTGTGCAGACGGGCGTTGACTCGAGGGCCAGCACGGCTCGGCGCAGACTGCCACGTTTCGCCAGGCTCTCTGCACGGCTGATGACACCTGTCGCATCTGGCTGATGTCTTGGCGGGGGCGGTGTGTTGACTGCGTTCAACGCGTCTTGGTATAGCTGATCCCATTCGCCACGCTGGAAAGCTCGGAGCCGGCTCTTGACACTTGGCCAGTTCGGGCGTTGTGGCGAGGTCTGGCGAAGCGTTAGGCGTGGGAGAAACAGCAGCAGGCGCCATCCCATTTCCGAATCCGGGTTTCGTGATAGGTGGTGTAACGGTGTCAGTAGCGCGAGCGAAAAAAGCTGACACAGGTTTGGCGGTAAACGCCGCGACAGTGGAGGCTGACGACTGTCGCAAAGTGCTGGAATGTCCCAGTTCGCGATGGCTGCGAACAGGTCTGTCCGCTTCGCTAGCTCGTCCGGTGAAAAGTAGCGGGGAATTGATGCTGGTGGGCGCGCCGCAGCCCCGGCACTGGCGGTTCGATTTCTCCCAGCGCGGCTCGATCTCATTGGTGGGCTTGAGGTTGGATTTGCACCCGTCCGATCAGCATCGGATGGTGGCTGAGTCATCTGTGGTACTTGCAATTCCGCCTGCTGCACCACCTCTTCCCGTCTCCTTGGTCCTTCTCTCGCCATGCCTTCTCCCTCCGTCTCCTCCTCCTCGCTCTTGGGAAGGGCTTCTTCCCTATAAGATGGGTCGTCCCGCTCGTCTTCATCATTACTAATAGTTTCCTCCACGTTGTTTAAAGCCATTCTCGCCGCCGCCTGATACCCATTCTCTGGCCCTCCGCCTGTTCCGCTTACGGTTTCTCTCCTCGCCACGCGGCTTCCTTGCTGTAGGGATGGTGATTGCCGGAGCACCTGAGCCGTCGCCAGAGCTTGTTGCCGCCTGGTCGGCTGCGGTCGCCAAGCCTCTGGCGGAGCCCGAAAGGGCGACCATGGCGACGAAGCCCCCTCTACCGCCGGCTCCGAAACCCATGACAGCAGTCTCTGAAAAGACTCCTCCCCACGCACCCGCGGATCCCCTTGCCGGGTCAGGGGCAGGCCCGTCCGCTCCCGCTGCTGTTCCGTCTGCTCCGCCTGCGGCACCTGGCCCCCTGGCTCCCCTTGTCGAGCCGTCGGCGTCTGCCCCTGCTGGGGGTGTTGCTGAACCCCCTGCACCTGTCCCTGGCGCCCTTGTTGCGCCGACCGCTTCTATCCCCTGCCTGCCTGCGCATGCCTCTGCTTCGTCACCAAAGGCGGCGTCCGCCACCACTGGCGAGCCAGCTCCGTCGGTTGCGCCTGCGGCGGCGGGCCAGTCCGCCCCTGCTGTGACGGCGGTGGCTCCTGCAGGCCAGCCTTCACGCCCTCCGTCGCCTGACCGTCGCTCGTCACGCCCCCATTCCCCCGCTCCCCATCAAGACCGCAAGTCCTCTCGTCGCCGCCGTGAATCTCCACGGCGGTACCAGCAACAGTCGCACTGGCCTGCTCACCCCGTGGGTCAGGGGGATTGGAGGGGTCCCCGTGCTCGTGGCGGGGGTGGGGGGTATCGCCCGCCTGTGACGATGGCGGATCTTCAGCGGGAAGTGTCGAGGGCGGTTCGGGAGGAGAGGGCGGCGCAGAGCCAGAGCAGTTCGCTGCGCGCCTTGCCAGCCCACGAGGCTCCCCGTCCGGCTGCGCTCCCCCCGAACCCGCAGCATGTTGCTCCGCCTCCCCCTCACATCCAAGCGCCACCAGCTCCTTCTCCCGCCGTATCGGCACCTGCTCCCGGTTCTCGTCTCCATCTGCCGCCGGTTCCGCCCGTTGCGGGAGTGGAGTTTGTGGCCGCGGGAGGCGGCTCGTTGGCGGCTCCGTTTGCTCTCCCAGCTGGTGCTGAAGAGCCGCTCCAGTTCCTGGTGGAGGCACTCCAGCCTCCGCAGACCCGTGTTCCCGCCTCGCTGACAGTCTCCATGCTCTGCTGCTGATTCAAGTGCTGGCCCACTCCTCTCTCCCTGTGATCCCTCCTGAGACCTTCCGTGGCCGCTAGAGTGACTCTTGCCTGGACGCGGCAGACCAGCTCGCGGTGCTGCTGGCGCCCGTGCTGGCTGCGCCCGCGGAGGGCGGCGCTGCTGCTGCGGGACAGCTTGACGAAGCCGTCCGGGGCTTGAGGCGGCACTTGCGCGGAGGATCTGGAGCCGCGGCGATCGGCGCAAGCACGCTAGTGGTCCGGGAGCTGTGGCGCTCCCTGACGGGCATTCTTCACGCCCTTGGAGCTCACCGCATGTAGATGCGGGCTCTGATTGCCCCATATTTGATTTGCTTGTCTAGGTTGCTGTAGGAAGAGCCATGTTTGTGATGCCGTTGTTTATGAGCAACTCTTAGTATTGTCACTTGCTGTCCCCTCAAGCGCGGCCGAAGGCCGCGCTGTCGAGCGCCGGCCGCCTTCGGCGGCCGGCGCGAGCGAAAGTTTTCCGCACCAGCCGAACAATGAGGTGAAGGGGCCCAGGGGGGCCTCTTATATAGCTCTCAAGGAGAGGACAGAGGGCTAAGGGGAGAGACCAGAGGCTAGGATCCTCTCTCTCTCTCTCTCTCTCGCTCTCTCGAACGGAGCGAAAGTTTTCCGCACCAGCCGAACAATGAGGTGAAGGGGCCCAGGGGGGCCTCTTATATAGCTCTCAAGGAGAGGACAGAGGGCTAAGGGGAGAGACCAGAGGCTAGGATCCTCTCTCTCTCTCTCTCTCTCTCGCTCTCTCGAACGGAGCGAAAGTTTTCCGCACCAGCCGAACAATGAGGTGAAGGGGCCCAGGGGGGCCTCTTATATAGCTCTCAAGGAGAGGACAGAGGGCTAAGGGGAGAGACCAGAGGCTAGGATCCTCTCTCTCTCTCTCTCTCTCTCTCTCGCTCTCTCGAACGGAGCGAAAGTTTTCCGCACCAGCCGAACAATGAGGTGAAGGGGCCCAGGGGGGCCTCTTATATAGCTCTCAAGGAGAGGACAGAGGGCTAAGGGGAGAGACCAGAGGCTAGGATCCTCTCTCTCTCTCTCTCTCTCGCTCTCTCGAACGGAGCGAAAGTTTTCCGCACCAGCCGAACAATGAGGTGAAGGGGCCCAGGGGGGCCTCTTATATAGCTCTCAAGGAGAGGACAGAGGGCTAAGGGGAGAGACCAGAGGCTAGGATCCTCTCTCTCTCTCTCTCTCTCTCTCTCGCTCTCTCGAACGGAGCGAAAGTTTTCCGCACCAGCCGAACAATGAGGTGAAGGGGCCCAGGGGGGCCTCTTATATAGCTCTCAAGGAGAGGACAGAGGGCTAAGGGGAGAGACCAGAGGCTAGGATCCTCTCTCTCTCTCTCTCTCTCTCTCGCTCTCTCGAACGGAGCGAAAGTTTTCCGCACCAGCCGAACAATGAGGTGAAGGGGCCCAGGGGGGCCTCTTATATAACTCTCAAGGAGAGGACAGAGGGCTAAGGGGAGAGACCAGAGGCTAGGATCCTCTCTCTCTCTCTCTCTCTCTCTCTCTCTCGCTCTCTCGAACGGAGCGAAAATTTTCCGCACCAGCCGAACAATGAGGTGAAGGGGCCCAGGGGGGCCTCTTATATAGCTCTCAAGGAGAGGACAGAGGGCTAAGGGGAGAGACCAGAGGCTAGGATCCTCTCTCTCTCTCTCTCTCTCTCTCTCTCTCGCTCTCTCGAACGGAGCGAAATTTTTCCGCACCAGCCGAACAATGAGGTGAAGGGGCCCAGGGGGGCCTCTTATATAGCTCTCAAGGAGAGGACAGAGGGCTAAGGGGAGAGACCAGAGGCTAGGATCCTCTCTCTCTCTCTCTCTCTCGCTCTCTCGAACGGAGCGAAAGTTTTCCGCACCAGCCGAACAATGAGGTGAAGGGGCCCAGGGGGGCCTCTTATATAGCTCTCAAGGAGAGGACAGAGGGCTAAGGGGAGAGACCAGAGGCTAGGATCCTCTCTCTCTCTCTCTCTCTCTCTCGCTCTCTCGAACGGAGCGAAAGTTTTCCGCACCAGCCGAACAATGAGGTGAAGGGGCCCAGGGGGGCCTCTTATATAACTCTCAAGGAGAGGACAGAGGGCTAAGGGGAGAGACCAGAGGCTAGGATCCTCTCTCTCTCTCTCTCTCTCTCTCTCTCTCTCGCTCTCTCGAACGGAGCGAAATTTTTCCGCACCAGCCGAACAATGAGGTGAAGGGGCCCAGGGGGGCCTCTTATATAGCTCTCAAGGAGAGGACAGAGGGCTAAGGGGAGAGACCAGAGGCTAGGATCCTCTCTCTCTCTCTCTCTCTCGCTCTCTCGAACGGAGCGAAAGTTTTCCGCACCAGCCGAACAATGAGGTGAAGGGGCCCAGGGGGGCCTCTTATATAGCTCTCAAGGAGAGGACAGAGGGCTAAGGGGAGAGACCAGAGGCTAGGATCCTCTCTCTCTCTCTCTCTCTCTCGCTCTCTCGAACGGAGCGAAAGTTTTCCGCACCAGCCGAACAATGAGGTGAAGGGGCCCAGGGGGGCCTCTTATATAGCTCTCAAGGAGAGGACAGAGGGCTAAGGGGAGAGACCAGAGGCTAGGATCCTCTCTCTCTCTCTCTCTCTCTCTCTCGCTCTCTCGAACGGAGCGAAAGTTTTCCGCACCAGCCGAACAATGAGGTGAAGGGGCCCAGGGGGGCCTCTTATATAGCTCTCAAGGAGAGGACAGAGGGCTAAGGGGAGAGACCAGAGGCTAGGATCCTCTCTCTCTCTCTCTCTCTCGCTCTCTCGAACGGAGCGAAAGTTTTCCGCACCAGCCGAACAATGAGGTGAAGGGGCCCAGGGGGGCCTCTTATATAGCTCTCAAGGAGAGGACAGAGGGCTAAGGGGAGAGACCAGAGGCTAGGATCCTCTCTCTCTCTCTCTCTCTCTCTCTCTCGCTCTCTCGAACGGAGCGAAAGTTTTCCGCACCAGCCGAACAATGAGGTGAAGGGGCCCAGGGGGGCCTCTTATATAGCTCTCAAGGAGAGGACAGAGGGCTAAGGGGAGAGACCAGAGGCTAGGATCCTCTCTCTCTCTCTCTCTCTCTCGCTCTCTCGAACGGAGCGAAAGTTTTCCGCACCAGCCGAACAATGAGGTGAAGGGGCCCAGGGGGGCCTCTTATATAACTCTCAAGGAGAGGACAGAGGGCTAAGGGGAGAGACCAGAGGCTAGGATCCTCTCTCTCTCTCTCTCTCTCTCTCTCTCGCTCTCTCGAACGGAGCGAAAATTTTCCGCACCAGCCGAACAATGAGGTGAAGGGGCCCAGGGGGGCCTCTTATATAGCTCTCAAGGAGAGGACAGAGGGCTAAGGGGAGAGACCAGAGGCTAGGATCCTCTCTCTCTCTCTCTCTCTCTCTCTCTCGCTCTCTCGAACGGAGCGAAATTTTTCCGCACCAGCCGAACAATGAGGTGAAGGGGCCCAGGGGGGCCTCTTATATAGCTCTCAAGGAGAGGACAGAGGGCTAAGGGGAGAGACCAGAGGCTAGGATCCTCTCTCTCTCTCTCTCTCTCGCTCTCTCGAACGGAGCGAAAGTTTTCCGCACCAGCCGAACAATGAGGTGAAGGGGCCCAGGGGGGCCTCTTATATAGCTCTCAAGGAGAGGACAGAGGGCTAAGGGGAGAGACCAGAGGCTAGGATCCTCTCTCTCTCTCTCTCTCTCTCTCGCTCTCTCGAACGGAGCGAAAGTTTTCCGCACCAGCCGAACAATGAGGTGAAGGGGCCCAGGGGGGCCTCTTATATAACTCTCAAGGAGAGGACAGAGGGCTAAGGGGAGAGACCAGAGGCTAGGATCCTCTCTCTCTCTCTCTCTCTCTCTCTCTCTCTCTCGCTCTCTCGAACGGAGCGAAATTTTTCCGCACCAGCCGAACAATGAGGTGAAGGGGCCCAGGGGGGCCTCTTATATAGCTCTCAAGGAGAGGACAGAGGGCTAAGGGGAGAGACCAGAGGCTAGGATCCTCTCTCTCAAGCGGTCCTTCATTGATAGTAAGCCAGATACAAGCAAGGCATGGAAGTAGCAGTCATCCTAGCCTGCATACTAGCAAACTAGCCAACCTGCCAGCAAACAAGTGAACAAGCAGACAAGCAACGACCTATCCCTTCCTTGCTAATTGGCTCGGCTGGCCAGGACCTACCCAGTGCCCGTCCCACGAGCGCCGCTGCCTGGGGTCCCCCTTGCCCCGGCCCCTCACACCTCCAGGGCCGGCCCCCAGTCCAGGTCGTCTTCCAGGACCTGCCAGAGATCCCCAAGGCGGGCCTCCCACGGGTCAGCCGCCGCCTGGGGGTAGGCACTCTTTGCAGCCCGGTTAGACTTTGCCAGGAAGGTGTTTGCCAAGCCAGGCCGGGCATGGCAAGAGCAGCACAGCCTAGCATAGCGGGACCAGCAGGTAGGTCGACCTGCACTCCTCAGGCTAAACCGTGTCCATCCCCTTCTACCCCTCTACATGTCGTCCTCTAGGACCTGCCAAACGTCCCCGAGGCTTGGCTCCCATGGGTCCTTTCCTGCCTGGATGAACGCTGCCTCGTCCCCTAGGTTTGACTTTTTCAGGAAGGAAGTGGCCTGGGAGCGTTGCAGCATGACAGACCATCGCTGTCTGTAGTGTGCAGTGAGCCTGGCCGTCGTTGTGGTGAGCCCGCCTGTCTCTCTCTCTCTCAAGCAGTCCTGCATTGATAGATTCATAAGGGTACAGGAATGGCATGACCGATCATGGTCGATAGGCTACCAAACATGCAAAGCAAGGACATGCAAAGACATGCAAGGGCACGTAAGAACCTGCAGGGACATGCTAGGGCCAGAAAACGTGGCAGTCATGGCCATGCGAGCAGGCTAAGCAGAGCAAAACATACAGTGCGGCCTTGGCTATACTACCCTGGCCAGAGCTGTCATGTCCGGCTAGCACTCACCCTCTCTTTCCCCTTTCCCCTCTTAGACCATTCAGCCCCCAACTCCGTCTTCCAGCACCTGCCACAGGTCACCCAGCCGCGGCTCACATGGGTCTGATGGTGCCTGAGGTGAGGATGCTTCTGCCGCACGGTTGGACTTGGCGAGCAGCCCTGTCGCCTGGCATCTCTGGAGCATCACCGAAAAACGTTGGCGGTAGTGGGCATTAAGCCTTGCTGCTACCGTGGTCTGTGGGCCGTGGCGGAAACCCCTCTTGGCGGCATTAGTGGCTAAGATGCGGAAGAATTTGACTGTGTCTGCCGCTAATGCCCCGTAGGTCTCTACCGCCAGCCCCAAGAACCCCACACATGATGGCCTCTCCTGGTACATCTTGTGCTTGCCAATGC